AGAGAAAGGATAGTGAAGCTCCGGCCAACGCACGTCAGACACACTTTTGCACCGCGCAGCCAGTGCAGCAAAGCTGCTTCAGCCGCGCGTCAGAACTGGTACAAGCAGCAAAAATGAAGCAGCAGTCGCGATTTTGCTGCTTTTGCTGCGTCCGGTGTGAACGTAGCATAGGAATCGGGATGAAATCCTTTCACCCACTGTCAGACCCTATGCTGGTACAGTGGGTCCTGGGTTCCTCCAGTTGCACAATAATGCCCAGCCTTATGTGGCGAGAGTATGCAGGCTGTTCCTGGAGGATGAAGAAATTGATACCATTGATTGGCTCCCACGCTCGCCTGACCCTAAATTCAATAGAACACCTCTGGGACATTATGTTTCGATCAATCCGACACTGCCAGCTTGCACCTCAGACTGTCCAGGAGCTCAGTGATGCCCTGGTCCAGATCTGGGAGGAGATACTCCAGGATGGCATACGTCGTCTCATTAGGAGCATGCCCAGATGTTTTCAGGCATGCATACACGCACGTGGGTGCCATACAAATTACTGAATGCCATTTAAGTTGCTGCAATGAAATTTCAGCAAAATGGACTAGCCTGCTGCATCATATTTTCGCTGTAATTTTTGGGGTGTCTTTGAATTCAGCCCTCTGTAGGTTGATAATTTTCATTTCCATCAAATGATGTGGCATCCTTTTGTTCCTAACACATCACCCAGCCCATATCAGTATAAATAAACAGCATGATTTTTTCCCATTGAGATCTGATGTGTTTTCAAAGTGTTCCTTTTATTTTTTTGAGCAGTATATTTCAATGTCACAAATGCATTTCATCCTAGTCAAAATGAAAATTTCAGATATCTAAAGTAACATTCTTCCTATCTAAAATATTCATTTCAGATATCTTGTAATATAATATAAATGTAATTCTTCATAGCACAAATGACGTCATGTTTTATTTCATGTGTATTGCGCTTTTACATCCAGATCTCTAAAATAAACTTTCTTCCTGTCTAAAAATGAATTTTGACGAGGATGAATTCTAATTTCAGATCTCCATAGTAGAGTTACTGCTAGTCATAATTACTATTTCAGATATCAAAAATGAATCTAATATTCTTGATATCCAAAATTCCAATTTTTGACATCTAAAATATATTTATACTAGTAGAAATATAAATGCAGACATCAACTATTTAGATATGACTAGTTAAACTGTAATTTCAGATATCTAAATTTTAATAATGCCTATCTAAAATGCAGTTTTAGATACTTAAAAACATATTTTGACTAACATCCAAAAAAAATAAATGGGGCTCCGTTTTAACATAAAATAGGCAGGCTGACTAGTCACATTTCTATTATAGATGGCACTAAATCATTCTACCTGGTCACAATTACAATACTCCTAGTTGGAATTGTATTTTTGATATCACTAATTACATTAATACCCATAGAAATTAAATTGAAAAAGTACTCTGGAATCAAATTTGTACTAGTAAGAACTACATTTCAGTTATCAGCAAATTCAGTTCAATTCAGTTTATTTATATAGCGCCAATTCACAACACGTCATCTCAAGGCACTTTACAGTTCACCTGATCACACAGTCAAATTGATTCAAGACCCCCATCTCCCTGAGCAGCCTAGATGTTGAGGTGGCTATAAATCCCCTGCAGCCTACTTCCACTGGGCCTACTTCAAAAAATTAAAAATTAGGAGGACCTGGACAATTCCCAGTGGGTCGGTCTTATTTTTTAGCTAAAAAGAGCCTTTGATTACTTATATACCTATGCATGCATGGATGCATGCTGGGGTTCAGCCATTTGAGGATAACTTGTTTTGCTACCACCAACCCTGCACTGCCTCTACAATGGCAGCTTTTTTTTGTCTCTGTGGGCCCTGACGTAACACAGCAGATCATTACTGTTAGTGGAAGCAACAGGTGCTGTTCTAAATGCTTTACACGTGAAATGGAATACTATAAATAAGAAATAAATCTGAATATTTACAGTAACCCTCCACATATCTTGCTTAAGTTCAAATGTGTTTTCCATGTCCAATGTGCTAACTTTAAAGGTTACTATTTTTTATGAGAATCGGGTTCAGGAGAGTCTATGGGAAACTGAAGGAAGTGTGAAATATTAACATTTTCAGTTATCTTATTTCACTTTGAAGGTTTGGAAAACTATGACCACTTATTTGAACAGAATGTTGATTCTGGTATCATGAAAAGGATGTGTTCTGAATAATTGTCGCTGTATAATCTGAACCCTAATTTGGAGCTTTTAAACAGGCTTTTGAAAAACTTTTATAATTTGCTGCTGTAATATTATAGATTTTTTAAAATAACAAGCTAGCAGATGTGCATAATCAAAAAAATAACAGAAATACCGTATTGTACAGTATTGTAAGAAAGCCCACACTGTTTCTGAATAAATACATTATTGTATGAGTTAATTTCTGTTCCGTTTATGCCTCTTACCTTTTGAGTGTGAAATGTCCCATGCTCCTGAATGCACCACAGCTATCTGACGCTCGTGAATGCATCACACTGGTCTGTTTAGACGCGCTTTTGATTTTCCATTTAAGACGAAGCTTTGCAGTTTCCAAACTCACGTCTGCTATCACTGTTTATTGTGCATGAATAACAAGAGACTATAACAAATAAATCAGCCGCACCTCGGACAAAACCTTTGGATTTATGCTGTTCATAACATCCGTACTTTTGTAAAGAATATGCCAAATAACCACCATGTTTTCGCACGATATGAATATTTAAACGTTTTAATATAATGTTTATATTTATATAACAACAACTAGAACCATTGGTCATATTTTAATCCATTTTCCTCGTCGATATGCAGTTGTACAGAGCGAGGCGCGCTCCCGCGACTGGGGACGCATATCTCGGCAGGCTGCACTTTTCGGCAATAACACCGGTGTTATGCCCAAAAGTGCATGCCTGCCGAGTGCATGCCTGCCGAAATATGCATCCCCAGTCGCGGGAGCGCGCCTCGCTCTGTTGAACTGCATATCGACGAGGAAAACGGATTAAAATATGTTCAATGGAGCTTAGGTTCTTATATTAATGATATAAAAACGTTTAAAAATACCTCTCGTGGGAAAAAAGTTGTGGTTACAGTATTTGGCAGATTCATTCTTGTAGCTGATGTAACAAATTCTACCTGCTTCCACATGTGTACTGAGCTACCACTTTGAGTTTCATGTGTGTGGGACAATTTTAAAGTTAAAAACAAGGGGGATGCATTTTGTGGCAGGTCCTTGCCAAAAATTGCATCCCCTGCTTTTTTTCAGAAATATAGACTTGTAGCTGATGTAACAATTACTACATGCTTCCACATGTGTGCTGATGTACCAGTGTGAATGTCATGTGTGTGGGACAATTCTTAGGTTAAAAACAAGGGGGATGCATTTTGTGGCAGGTCCTTGCCAAAAACTGCATCCCCTGCTATCTCAGAGGAGTTGACACTTGTACGTCTGTATTCCTGTATATTCATCAGTAATTAAGTACAAGGATTAGCAAATGCAAATTCTGCCCTGTAAAGCAATGACTGCATTTGATCTGAAGCCCCATTTGGAGCTTTTAAACAGGATTTTGAAAAACTTTGATAAATTGCTGCTGTAATATTATAGATTTTTTGAATAAAAAGCTAGCAGATGTGCATAAACAAACAAACAAAAAAAATACAACACAGTTCAGTAAAATACAGTTGTGTTTTATGCCTCATTCTTGTAAGTTTAAAATGTTCCAATGCTCCTGAATGCACCATAGCTTTCTGACGCGCAGGGAACGCATCTCACTGGTCTGTGAACGCTGTGCTATGTAGATGCGCGTTTGATTTTCCACTTAAGAGAAACCTTTGCAAACTCAAAACTCACGTCGGCTATCACGGTTTAGTGTTGTGTGTAAATAGCAAGAGACCACAACAAATAAATCAGCCGTACCATGGTCAAAATCTTTGGATTTAATGTTGTTCAAAAAATCCGTACTTTTGTAAATGAATCTGCCAAATAACCACAACTTTTTTCCCACGAGAGGTATTTTTAAACGTTTTTATATCATTAATATAAGAACCTAAGCTCCATTGAACATCTTTTTATCCGTTTTCCTCGTCGATATGCAGTTCAACAGAGCGAGGCGCGCTCCCGCGACTGGGGATGCATATTTCGCCAGGCATGCACTTTTGGGCATAACACCTGTACCATAAAACCAGTTAGATAAGGTATATATAATTGACTTTATTATTATTATGGCCAAGTTCTTTATACATAAATGTAAATATAGAGGCTCCAAACTATGCATTACTGCTTTTAAGCACGAACTTAAACAATATATTGACACCATGCAATTATTAGAAAATAAGAAAGCAATCAAATCTCGAGAAGCCTTTGTCCTTTTTAATATTATTTAGAGCCCTGTTTCCCCCTAGCGAAAACTTTTGTTTAAGAGATGTAACCTCTGTATTGTTCTTTGCAGAAACAAATAAAGTTGTATAAAAAAAAAACAGTAGTACCAGTTTGTTCTAGGAGGCAGAAATTGATTTAAAGACACAGAGCGCTTCATCCACTCTGATTCTCTGCTAAGCAGCAATGATGCAACATCTAAACTATTTAACAGGATATATTTATGTGAAAAGCATCACACCAAAAAATATAAGCAGGAGGGCAGATGGAATAAATCATTTCCTAGCATATTTGTTTTTTTCAGGATGGAGCTGTGTTCCGTTAGATCTTAACGGTTAAATGAAGGGGGGGCGGCGGCTGGTTTCCGCTCTTTCTGCCTCAGTCAGGCAGCTTGATGACGCATCAAGCTGCAGAGTTTTACATTTAAACAGTTGATCCATGTAGTTTTTTTTTTTTTTTTTTTGGGGGGGGGGGGGGGGGGGCAAGAATATCGGATATTTTATTAGTGTAGAGTATTTATTTAAAAACAAAATAAAAATAAAAACAAACACATAATATAGTACTGTTTTTTCTTACCATTCCCTAAAGTCTGTCCGGTAAGAAGGCAGATGGTGATCAGCAGAAGAAGCTCCATCGCTGCTATAATCTTTGCAGCCGTTTCTCCAACAGTCAAGCTTCTCCTCTCGCTGCTGCTCTGCTCTTTACTTTCACTTTCCCATCAGCTTCCTCTTCTCCAACTCTGCGCCGCCCAGATGCATAACATGCGCGTGCTCGTTGTAGTATGCTCGTTCCCGGCTCTATGTGGGTGGGTAGAGGTAGGGTGACGTCACCGGCCTAAATTTAAATTCATTATATTTTAAAAAGTAAAGCAGCACAAATGTTGGTTTTAACGGCACAAATCAGCACAAACGAAGCACTAAAAAAGGAGACCACTTTGGTTCAAATCGGAGTTATATGGGGGGATGGTGACCTCTGGATGATTGAAAAAATTATCTTTAATATCTCTTAAACAAAAGTAGCACAAACAATATTTTTTTCTGCACAAATCTGCACTAACGTTGCACTAACCAATCAGTCTATTTGCAGTTATTAGACGTGGGTGGGGTGTCAGCTTCACGCAGCTCGGGCGCTGGCGGGAGCGGTGATAAGCAGCACTCCCATGAACTAAAAACGTGCTTTAAAATGTAAAATAAAGTCATAAATTATCAGTCTATGTCCATTATATTTACACATCACAATGTGCTGGATAATGCAGCTCGTGCCACCTAACGGGCGTCATGCACTATGCGGTGAAGAAGCCAGTAATGTGCTCAGCTAAGTACAGCGTGTTTAATTCCTCAAACTAATGACACTAATTGCCTTGAGCAGTCGGCGAATGTAGGAATCATGCGGGAATTGTGGGCGGGAGCGGGACTGAAAATCATAATTCTTTGCGGGTGCGGGACTGAACACTGCGGGAGCGGGCGGGCGCGGGACTGGAAAATCTGTCCCTCTAATGTAGACGCTGTACCAAAGGGAAACTACGGGAGCTGTGGAAGCTAAAAGAGTGACTATAGAACCAGTTTGATATAACACAATTTCATACAATATACACTATATTGCCAAAAGTATTTGCTCACCCATCCAAATTATTGGAATCAGGTGTTCCAATCACTTCCATGGCCACAGGTGTATAAATTCAAGCACCTAGGCATGCAGACTGTTTTTACAAACATTTGTGAAAGAATGGGTCGCTCTCAGGAGCTCAGTGAATTCCAGCGTGGAACTGTGATAGGATGCCACCTGTGCAACAAATCCAGTCGTGAAATTTCCTCGCTCCTAAATATTCCACAGTCAACTGTCAGCTGTATTATAAGAAAATGGAAGTGTTTGGGAACGACAGCAACTCAGCCACGAAGTGGTAGGCCACGTAAACTGACGGAGCGGGGTCAGCGGATGCTGACGCACATAGTGCGAAGAGGTCGCCAACTTTCTGCAGAGTCAATCACTACAGACCTCCAAACTTCATGTGGCCTTCAGATTAGCTCAAGAACAGTGCGCAGAGAGCTTCATGGAATGGGTTTCCATGGTCGAGCAGCTGCATCCAAGCCATACATCACCAAGTGCAATGCAAAGCGTCGGATGCGGTGGTGTAAAGCACGCCGCCACTGGACTCTAGAGCAGTGGAGACGCGTTCTCTGGAGTGACGAATCGCGCTTCTCCATCTGGCAATCTGATGGACGGGTCTGGGTTTGGCGGTTGCCAGGAGAACGGTACTTGTCTGACTGCATTGTGCCAAGTGTAAAGTTTGGTGGAGGGGGGATTATGGTGTGGGGTTGTTTTTCAGGAGCTGGGCTTGGCCCCTTAGTTCCAGTGAAAGGAACTCTGAATGCTTCAGCATACCAAGACATTTTGGACAATTCCATGCTCCCAACTTTGTGGGAACAGTTTGGAGCTGGCCCCTTCCTCTTCCAACATGACTGTGCACCAGTGCACAAAGCAAGGTCCATAAAGACATGGATGACAGAGTCTGGTGTGGATGAACTTGACTGGCCTGCACAGAGTCCTGACCTCAACCCGATAGAACACCTTTGGGATGAATTAGAGCGGAGACTGAGAGCCAGGCCTTCTCGTCCAACATCAGTGTGCGACCTCACAAATGCGCTTCTGGAAGAATGGTCAAAAATTCCCATAAACACACTCCTAAACCTTGTGGACAGCCTTCCCAGAAGAGTTGAAGCTGTTCTAGCTGCAAAGGGTGGACCGACGTCATATTGAACCCTATGGATTAGGAACGGGATGTCACTTAAGCTCATATGTGAGTCAAGGCAGGTGAGCAAATACTTTTGGCAATATAGTGTATATATACATTATAGTTGAACTCCGGATAGCGTTTTATTTTAAAGCGGCGGGCTGTGATGACGTCACCGGCCCAAATTAAAATTGATAATATCTCAGAAACCAAAACAGCACAAACGCTAATTTTTCTAACAGTTTTAACAGTAGATGTTACACAATGTCCCTTTAAATGTTCAAGTTAAGAAGAAAGTAGTCAAACAAACAGAGGTATTCTTGTGTTCATTCTTCCATGATAAATAAGTCACTTTGATTCATGCAGCTCTTTTATTTGTTTCTCAAATAAAAGAATAAACATTATTTTCTGTTGTGCATTACATGCAGAAGGACAACCGGTGTGACTTCAACAAACATATCCTCAAGATTGTTGTTCTCCATGGTGCTGATGAGGATCCCGTTAATGTCTCCATCCTTGTTGAAGGCCGGTACAGTACTGCAAAAGTGTCGTGGGAAAAAAGTATTCAACCATTCAACTTTACCCCCCTAGTTACAACAATGGAAAGCAGTCAGAGTCATAACAAATTACACACACTTACACAGTAACATGTTATGAATAAACCTTGAGAAAGAACCTGATTTGTTATGGGAAGGAGCTATGTCTGGTCTACAAACAACATCCTGCAGGAAATGGTGTGGCCTTGAGAGAGAAACAGACTGAGTGAAAACTTTTATAGTGAGTAAATAGGATAAATTAATATATAATAGAAGAAAGATAAACATTTTCCGACAACAAAAAGCCTGTTAGCTGCTTATGGGACTGATATATGCACTTAATTTGGCATATCCTCTCCCTTTGCAGTACACTTTTGAAGTGTTCCAAAAACTTTTCCTGGAGTTGGATGGATTCAGACTATCAGCAAAAGTAAACAACTTGAAGTTAAAGTTGCTTTCACCTTAGAGGAGGCAAATGTGGCATCAAATGCCAAGAATTAGAAGTGGGTTCCAGTTAATGTTAGTGCAAGGTTGCATTGTCATTAATGTTTTATTTTTTTTTCCAAACAAGGTATGTTATTTGGCAAAAAATAATATGTTCAAATATTTAGTAGAGATTTTTATGTTAATTGAGAATGGTTAGAATGATTTTGGTTCATTGTCGAAATTGCATTCTTCAAAATCCACTTGTCTGGATGACTGGTTCAAATGTTGAAATTGTACTTTTTGTGTGTAGGTTTGTAAGATTTTTATTGCTGATTTGAGTGGTGACTATATAAACTGTTGCTTTCACAACAGTTTCCAGTAACTATAAAAAGTAATTGAGTTCAGATGAGAAATAGCTGAAAAATAAACGGGGAGGGGGGGACTAAAGATATATATATATATATATATATATATATATATATATATATATATATATATATATATATATATATATATATATATATATATATATATATATATATATATATATATATATATATATATATATATAATCTCAAAGTATTTGTCTTAACTGTGTAACGAATCAAAATGTGTTCGAGACAGAGAAACCCTGAACCTCAGAACAGCATCCTGAGGGATGTCGTACAAACTGATTTTTCCTAAATGTAGAGCAAGTTAAGTAAACTACATCTCCAAATGCATAACAGTGAGCAGATTTGCAGTTAAATTAAAATACATCCCAGTCTGTGGAGAACTTTGCCCAAAGTTTATGATAAGATATTTATTGCAAGATGAAGAGTCAGATTAGTACACATTTTGTCACAATAGAACAACAAACCTCAGTGTGTTTCACGGGGATTTTATGTGATAAGCCAAAAAAAAGTGAAGGGAAAACGAGGTGTTCTTTTATTAATAAAAATGTTTTAATTACCAGACCTGTGTTGGTGTATATTTAATACTGTGTATTTGTTGTTTACAAGTCATACCAAACTTCTCTTTTTTGTGCACAAATTCTAATGCAGTACAACAAAATGCACTTAATAATAATGCAATATTTGTACATGCTTTTTTCATTTCAATAGAGGCATACATAATCTGTGCTCAAAGTTTAAATGGCTGCTTCAGTTCTGATCCTCGCCCAGAGGTTATTTTGAGCATGTTTGTGTAGGTTAAATATTCTTGATCTTACATGAGTAAATTTCTGTAATGAATCTTCAAACTGAGTTTTAGAGGGTTTTACTTTTTTATTGCCTATTTGAATAGTACAATTCCAGTTAGACTGTCAAATTTCCGGCTGGCCCATGAAAGATTGGACAATTTAAAACAATAGTGTATTTACTTTGTTAAACTGTTTAAAATGAAAAATAGTTTAATGTATATAAAATGTGGGCTCCTCAGTGGCGCAGTGGGTAGCAGTGGGTTTGATTCCCGGCCTGGGGTCTTTCTGCGTGGAGTTTGCACGTTCTCCCTGAGCATGCATGGGTTCTCTCCGGGTACTCCGGCTTCCTCCCACAGTCTAAACTGCCCAAATCTCCAAATGACTGTTACCGGTAGGTTGATTGGCTTCTCTAATTTGTCCTTAGATGTGTGTGCATGAATGGTTGTGTCTCCTGTGGGTCTCTGTGTTGCCCTGCGATGGACTGGCGACCTGCCAGGGTGTACCCGGTGTACCCTTGCGACCCCACTTGGGACAAGCGTGTAAGAAAATGGATGGATGGATGGATGGATGGATGGATGGATGGATGGATGGATGGATGGATGGATGGATGGATGGATGGATGGATGGATGGATGGTATATAAAATGTATAGACTTTTATTTAAATGTATTTGGTAACATTTATCAAAAGAAAAATGGCAATGGTTACCTAATTTTAGTGAGTAATGTAACATAATGAAGCAAAGTAAATGTCAATCAGAGAAAATAATTAATATCTACTTAAATTACTTCATAACAGCAAATTCTACAGGGATAAAATTTTGAGTAAAATGCAAGTTCTACACACTCAAAAAAATGATTCACAGGCTTAGTAAATATCATAGTAATAAA